CTGACGTGGATCAGCTTTGAAGTGAACAACAAGTCGCACACACCTATTGATCTGTAGTTTCCTTTTCGTGTAATCTTCTTGGGATTTTGAGTGAATTTTAGCTTTTTTAGTTCCTATTAGAGCAGGATTACAAAGAATTTGAGATATACCCTGAGCCACAGACCTGCAACTAACACAAAAGAAAACTTTGGATTATATAGAATGAAACGGATAAGCAGGAGAAGATGGGCATATTTGGTAATAATAACCTTGAGAATGACAAACAAGTTTGGAATTTAATAGAAAACCTCAACCAAACAACAAAAATCCTGAAAATAAACCCATTAATCTAACTGGGGGATTAAGAGAGGATCGTAGTGATCTAGGAAGCTAAGTGAGGCTACACTTCTAAATAATCCAGAGGAACGTTTCTTTACCAGTCCCAAGCTATTAAAGAGATTTTAATTTTTCAAAATGAGGAGCACTTTTAGAGTTTTATCACAATATAACATATATTAATGTTAGTTATCTGTCCTACTATTAAGGCTTATTTACTTGAAAGTTGGGAATTTCTAAGACACATTGGTCTCAGTATTAAAATATACAATCTTCAGAATAAAGATCTTGTGTACATTTTCTTTTCTTGTTTTTCTCCAAGTGTCCTAAGGACCCTGATACATGCTAGAAGACAGTAATATGTCAAATACAGTAGCAACTTCAGTCTGAAATGTTTAAAGTTAAAGTTTATTTGTATTCTTTGTAGGAATATCAATAAAAGACCTCAAACGTATCTATATCTGTACATGTACAAGAACCTTCAAAAATTATTCACAGAACAAAAATAAATCTTCTTTAGAACAAACCCAGGTAATGAAATGTGGATATGGATCTCACATATGGAACAATCTAAGTGCTACTAGCACAAAAATATGGCTTTAAAAATAAAATAAAATCTTGGGTATTGTTTTTCTAAGGTGTATTTCTCTTTCTTGAAATAAAAAATAAATTATTTAGAGCTATCATTGTAAAATAGTCATGTGTGTTAGCACACTCTTATTAAGGCCCTGGAGATGAAAAACAAAATCAAATTTAGAAGGTAAATTCCTCACAGGCGTGATTCAGGTTAATATGCTGCTGTCTGCTTAAGTTAATTTTAATATAACTAGGAAATGTCCAAGCACCAGTTAAAATTTAACCTAATTTACTATTTAACTTTTCTGCACGACAGTGGTCATCGAGTCAATTAATATTTAACCTTTCTGTGAAATGAGAATTGAAATTTTTCCCATGGAAGTTTGGAAATGACATACGCATACTTATACATAAATATCTGTACCCCCACACAGACAATGGAGATGATTTTCTGCAGAAATCTCTCTACAACAATAGGTAAATCCAGTTTTAAGAACAATGAGGGCATTAGAATGAAAAATAACAAATGAGTAGGAAATGTATGCTGAAATGAGCAAAAACTACCACCTTCCGTTCCTTGGGTGATTCACTGCATCTGCCAAGTGTCTCTCAGTTGGCTCCTCAAACACCTGAGGGTTAACTGATCAGGAAACAACCCTACTCTCTGATCATTGAGAGTCAACTTTCCTTCTGTGACTCCCCGTGGTATCAATAGACAATGTCACACCAAGTCAATTTCAAGTCATTTTAACTTATATATACATAGAAGACATATAGTACATTTTAAAGTGGATAGAGTAACTGTTATAAAATCTAACAAATGAGAGCATAAAATCTAAACAGCTCAAACGTTTGGGAATCTTGCTGAATAAAATGGATTATCATTAGAAAAAGGAACCTCTAGGAGCTGTGTGTTTGGTGTGGGTGTGCATGTACTGTGTATAGAAACTGCCTTTCTATGTATCTGTGTATTTTAAGAGTGGGAAAGGGATATAAATATTGTTTCCTTGAACTTTTGGACTACTGAGAAGATTGCTATGCATTAGTACCTTTCTGAACCACGTGTCTTTTTTAGGTTTTTTTTTATTCCTTATAAGATATTTATTCTATCTCATGCAAATTTCATCACTTTTGTCCTTCCTAAGTTTAAGAGGATTCATAATTGGGTCACGACAACAAGAATGCTTCTAGAATTAAAAATCACTCAAACATAAAAAGAGATTCTATTTAAAAATTTAACACCCCAACATTTCCTGCTTTTAATAAACTAATAAAATAAATCCTTTCAACTGACATATTGATAAAAAACAAAGTTCCCAAATTCTTGACCCCCAGGTAAGGGGCGGGAAGGCAACTATTTATTGCTGGGGCAAGAAGGGGATTTCACTACTATAGTTGAAAAAGGGAAGGGAATGAAGAAAAAAGCCTTTTTGGCTTTCTACAGTCTATAAGAGAAGGTGGCCTCTAACGGTGTAGCTGAAAAATGCACCAGGGCTTGTGCATGGGCTCTTGGCCCAGCTACCAGTCTAGCCTGGTGTTAAGCATGGGTGGGACCCAGGGTCAGATGGAGTAGAATGATGGGACTGAGGAAATCCTGAAGAAGGTTCCTTCTACAAGCTCAGTACTATAACCAGCCTTCTCAGGAACCCCAAACCAGAGATAACTAGAAGAACTAAACCTAGCAAGAAGACAGAACAAATTCTAATGCAAACTTACTTGACAATTGTCTTGCTCTGAGACTTCCAAAAAAGAACTCCGCTCCCAATCTGGTATAACTTTGAGGATACAATAAAAGCCAGTGGTATAGGAACCACTCACATAGATCCATAAACAAAGGCCATGGATAGACTAAGATCTACTTCTAAAGGCAAGCTCACTCATTCTCAAGGCCATATAGTTAATACTTATAGCAGCCTTAGTCAAAAATCTTACTTTTTCTTTCACTGTCCAATACCACCACAGAGAAAGGTGGAAGCAGACCAATCAAAGAACGCTAATTCTGACCAACTTGACACTAAGTGAAAAAAACAAAAAGCTACAGCAACACGATTACCTCATTTCACCACATTTCCCTTACACTGCCCTAGACCCAAACAGTATCTTGGTGATAATACTTAGAATATAGTAAGTACTCAAGTGCTTGTTATAGTTACCCAGTTATAATCTCCCCTCTGGCATAGCTTTTATTGCAGAGACTCAGGGAATATGATGACCTGATACTGCCATCTCCCATACTTTAAAAAAATCATTTGCAGTTAAGTTCTATAGATTACAGCATTCTCTTAAGAAATACAAAAATATTTGGATAGGAATAGAGTCAAAGGACAATCTAACATCTGGCAACAACTCTGAACTTTTAGCTTACTTCTAACACTTTTATTATTATTATTAATTTTTTTTCCATTCAAGATAATCTAAGAGTAGAGGGCTGCATAATTTGCCCAAATGTTTTGGGTATTTAATCTTCCAATGCAGACAGCCCCGCAGAGCTCCCACGATGCTTACAGGATATTTTGTATCTATCCAAAACACATTTGATTTTTTTGTATCTCCTCTCAGTTCCCACAATAGAAAATTTTATCAGCCCTCTCTAATCCACAAACAACACTTGAGAGCTTCTGAGCCAAAATGCAAGACATCACCTATGTTACACGCTTAAGGCCACTGAAAATGACAGTTCTTTTAGCAGGTTTTCTGTGGCACAATGGAAGGTTTTGCAAAGAATGAATTAAACACAGCTAGACCTGAGACTAGATCAAAGGGCAACTACTTAAGAATCGGGAACCTCTTTTTCCTATTAAAATAAGTGATTTTGATTTCAGTGTTGCCTCAGCTTGAAGGGAAGATGTAAGAATTTGTAAAACAACTACCAACAGTCAAGAAAAGATACAAGTGACAAAACAGCTTGGCACAAAGCCTGCAGATCAAATAAAAACAAGCAGAAGCTCCTATGTTAGATCTTTGTCTGGTAGAAAACAGGGACTCTTAAGAAAAAGACTGTTTAAAAGGTTGTGGGATATGGGGCCATGATTGCTGAAATATAAGTCAATGCAAACCTGAGTGAGGGCAGAGTTCAAGAGGTTGGAATGCAAGCCCAAGACTGGGTGAAAAGAAGGTCTGGCATCTGTCTGGGCTTCACTCAAAAGCGGGCACTATCCACATTCTCTTGTAAATATTCTGTTATATAGAAACACTCATTCCATGAACATGGCTCCCTCAGGTCTTTTTTTCCCTCTCCCTTTCCTTTAAAGAAAAAAAATTCCTTAATGTTTATAATTTAAAATAAACATCAACTCGAGAAACATTGTTACTGTCTCAATATAAAACAAACAACGGCTTAGATCTTGCTTAAAGAGATTCAAGACCCTTTTAACATTTTATCTGACAGCATAGAAGGCATGAGATTTTCCTATTTGTGCACTTATATGTACATTTGTGTGAATATATATGTATATATATTTGTATATGTAATATCTATTTAACATGTAACATTCCATATTTCTGGTAACCAAGGTTGCATTCAAGATGACATTTCACACCTTTGGAAAAAAGGAAATAAATAAGATTCCATGACTTTTCCTGTCCTATAACAAAGCTATGGTTGACAGATGTTGAAAGTAGGTCATTATTGCCAGATCTACCAGGAGGATGGGAATAACAATCGGAATGTACCATCTCGACACTTTGTTTTCATAATAATCACTTTTAAGAGAATGATGTCAGATTAGGATTTCCTTTCCAAATTTTACTGAGGAGATGGGGAAGAAGCAATTTAAAAGTTAAAGTCGGAGATAAAACTGCCCTGCCCGTAGATTTGCTAGTATACTGGATACAGCCTTATTCCAAACAAAAATTATAACTTAACGGAAAAAAATTTTTAATAGGAAATATTCAGAGATTCCTGTGATGGTATGGTTAGCCCTTTTCTGTATGGAAGAAAGGGTGTTTATTTCAGATGGCTTATGGACAGCATATTTGAATAACCTCTCCAGGAGAGAGTAAACCCTGTTAGTGATGATTGCTCCCACCATAGGGAGAAAAAAGCAGTGGATGTGTGAAGACGAAAATGTTATGTAGAGACACAAATATTTATAGTTTTGTAAACTCTAAAAGAGGAAAGAGAACATCCTTTATTACAACTGGAAGTTTTTAAAAAGCCCCCTATCTAAAACAGAAAATTCCTATCTGCTATAGATAGAGGAAATAAACATATTGACAGGAGTTTAATAGAAATCACTCCTAAAAGTCCAGCTTTGATACAACAGCTTTTATCTGTATTCTTTGAAATCATGAATCCCCAAATCAGATTACCTGTCTAACCAGAACCAGTCTTGGCTGACCAGTAGAATGAGTTATTGTTTTGTGTGGATCTCAGTATTTGTATGTTTTCCTAACATACAAAGGGGGGCCAGATAAGGTCTTTAAACTGGTATATGAATCCCTGAAAAATTCATTCTGACAAAATCCTATTGCATTCCATGTGCTTCTATCAGACAGACACTCTACCTACTGAACCCATAGGCTCATTTCTCACTCACACATACTGCCTACTTTTCCTCCTCTAACAACTGCAGTGCTTTCAACAAGAGACAAACAATAATAAAAATAGCAATAATCAAAAAGGTAATCTACATTATTAACTTCCTTTTGGTATATTACAGTGGTATTTTCTGTACATGGCCCAGAACTAAGTTCCCTATGTACATAGAGATGAGGCGGGAAAGCATCGACCTTGGAAGTCGTCGCCTTATGCCCTGAAAGACAAGGTTCCTTTTCTTCATTCAAGAGTTTCTTACCACATTGCCATTGTGAAGTAGCAACATTCTGTAAACCTGGAGGGGCTGGGTAAAGGACTGGGATAGGAGAGCAGGTCAGTTTCCTTCTGTCTCCTTCCATAGTCTGTTTGCAAAGCCCATCAGCAGCTGCTGTTTTTAAATTCACCATTCTCCGTGATGGAAAGCTTGGTGGGATTGGTGGGGGAGATGCCATTGCGGACCTGCATGCTGTACCGCTCCTTCACTTGGGTCAGTGCGCTCATCAGTCTGGTGTTGGCTGAATCCAGGGACACGATCCGCTTTTCCTACAACACACCAATCATGGCTTTATTCAGTCTATGTGCAGGGAATAATACTTTCTAGTTACTGGATGACTAGTTCAATACTTTCTCTCAAACAGCAGAATGCATGGTGCTTCCCAGACAAATGGAACGTCTCTGCCTCTTTCTGCATACTGGTCAGGTTCAGCTATCCCTGAGCCCAGTGGTCTCCATTTATTTTCTCTATTTTTTCTTTTCAGCATAGCAGGACTTGTTATTAACAATCTCTTAGGACATTAGGCTGGCATGTAAAAATGACACCATGTGTTAACTTCAAACTATGCAACAGAGGCGTCAAGCTGCCTTACTAAGTGCTTTTGGTCAAAATTGAAACATGAAAATTAGGTGGCAAAGAAAGAAGCACCAGAGGTTTCATTTCACAGAGGAGAAGTGCATGTGATCTATGGGTTCTTAGCCCCAAAAGAGGGGTCATCAGTCATACTGGTAAAGAATTCACATTGTGCTCAAAATTAAAACAATACATGGTGGCAGTTTAGAGTCACCAACAAGGTGAGGATGCAACAGCAAGAGGGGGGAAAAGCAGCCCAAAAGCTCAGACCAAGGAGTTATCTGAATAAGGGAAGGGAGATGTGACCAGAAGGGGGTTGCCATAAACATAACACATGAGAACAAACAGAGAACACAGGCTCCTAGACTCATTCCAGCTCAGAGTTACTCCAGGAAAGCTGCCCAGAAGGAGATTACTTTCATTTTACTTTTGAATCTTTGAAAAAAAAAATAATGCTTTAGAACCAATATTTGGAACCAAGGATTGTTGAATATACACACATACACACAAAACCAATGGGGAAAAAGGAGGGGGAAAAATTTAAAGGAAAGGACCATCTAATTTTTAAAAAAATCAATCAGGCTTGGCACCCGTAGCTCAGTGGTTACAGCACCAGCCACACTGCACTGGGGCTGGCGGGTTTGAACCCAGCCTGGGCCTGCTAAACAACAATGACAACTACAACAACAATGAAATAGCCGGGCGTTGTGGTGGGCACCTGTAGCCCCAGCTATTTGGGAGGCTGAAGCAAGATAATCACTTAAGCCCAAGAGTTTGAGGTAGCTATGAGCTGTGATGCCATGACACTCTACTGAGGGCAACATAGTGAGACTGTGTCTCAAAAAATAATAATAATAATAAATCGCTCCATCAAAACATTATCAGTCTCACAAAAATTCAGAGACATCCTAATCTTAGCTTCAGCATCTAGGTAAATCATTTCAGAATCTTTTCAACATGAATTCCATATTTTTCAGAAAAAAAGTTAATGCAGAGAGGGATAGTCTTTACCTACACCCATGAAATTAAAAAGAAAATAGCACATGTGGAACCACCCCAAAGCCAGAAGCTTTCCTACCCTAGGAGTTTTTGAATTTATCCCGGGAAAAGCATGGTACGGTTCAGTCATGGCAACGTTCAGAGGGGAAGCAGGAGGGCTGAGGGTTGGTGCTGCTCCTTGCCATTAAAGGAGAAGCTGTGCAGGGCTGCCTACTCTGTAGAGAGACACGTGCTGCCAGGAGCATGCAGAGTAAAGACCACTGCCCGGGGTTAAAATCTAAGTAAAACCCTATACAGAGGGTGCAAAAATATGTTATACACATTTTAAAAAGGAAAAACTGTATTAAAACTGTAATACTCAATATATCAGTAACAAAAGATGAATACAAGTCATATTTGAGCACCACTTGTAATACTCATGACTTGAATATTACAATTTTAATATAGTTTTTTCCTTTCTTAAAATGTGTACACATTTTTTAGCACCTTCTCTATAACCATGGCATCACATAATGCTTTCCTTTAATTGCTTACTTTTGGGGTGGGGGCAGGATCTATAGGCAGCAGTGCTGGTAGTCATGGTTTGAAAGTATGAATAAAACTCTAGCTCATGTTTGTTATTATCACTTAAAAAACAATCCTCCTTTCCCTGAAGAACTCATTTGGTAAGATATATAAAATCAGCATTAACTAACCACTAATATAGTGTAAGATGCTTTTTATCTTGGGAAAGTAATTCATTTCAAAGATAGGTGAAACTCAAAGAAATATCTGCAAGGCTTTTTAATAATAATAATATTTTGAAAAAATTATAGCCAATGGAGTTTACTGGGATAATAGGTATAGGTCTTTTAAAATCCAACAGGAATGGCCAGTGGTTACCAGAAAACAAGAGGTAGGAGCCAAACATGATATTGTCCTCAGAATGATCTCTAAATACAATAAGCAATAATTTCTTGAACAATTAAAGAAGAAAAGATATTTCCAAATTGGATAAATTATAAGGCTCTAATACTAATAAAAGCGGATTCTCCAGGGTTATCTAAATAAATACAGTCATTCACAAAAAACTAGTTGATTCTTGAAGTGTCAAAAAGAAGGCAATGAATGATTGTAATTGCTTATTGCCTACAAAGGTAACAACTAAAGCCAAGCAATCCCCTTACTAAACACTGAAAGTTTCCACATGCAAAAACTCCCTCTGTAATTTCCTTCCACTCTAACCTCTCAAACTAAAACAAAAATAAAAAAAAAAAATCAAATAGGGACTTTGAGAGTCAAGGTGTCAGATGCTCTGACATTTTGAATCTGCCTGGATTAGAAGGCAAAATGATGTAGTTTATGCCTGACAGGAAGGATTTCACGTGGGGAGTTGTAGGAGCTGGAATGTGTAGGAGGCCAGTGCACTGGACCAGGGCTGGGAACTGCTCAGCTACAGAATGGACGGGGTTTACTTGCCTTTTTGAATAATCTCATCTCCATTTATGACCTGTAATTTAACACAGTGGAGATATCACTTGTAACAGTAACTAGGCAGCTGCTTTGCTTCTCATAGGAGGAAGCCCTTCTCTGTTCTCCATTTGAGTCACATGGAGAGATCCAGGGAACCACAGGGTCTCCTCATGCTTGAGGGTGAAAGGTATAACATTCCCATGTCTGGGAATATTATAGGGATATTTAAGAAATGGTTCCTTAGTACCATGATTAGGATCCCCAAGTCCAAGCTACAATGTCCAGGATAGGTAATTCTGCTGCTCACCAATGGAGTGGTAATTCCTTCGTAGTAAGAAAGTGGCTGAGGCAGGCCTCTGCCTTGTAGTATGACATGACTCAAGGAGAGGGAAAAGTTTAATTCAGGGACAAACTTTTTCTGTGGGAACACAGGGCTGCTGAGAGAGATGAAAACCAGTTCACTGGGTTGTGGGTTAGTGTTTTGGGAACTTCAGTATAAGGAAAACAACTATATTCCTTAAAAAATATTTTTCTTACCAGTGGCACCAAGGCACATGTCACAGACATAAAAGTATGGGTTACCTCTATGGGAAGCTTTTACCCCCAAACATGTCTTCATTCTATTAAATGAGGCCAGAAGGGTTGCTCTGTTCCATCAATCACTTAAGATGTAAGATTTATCCTTACAAAAGAAAGGATCTGATATAAAAACTCACGAATCATCAAGGATGCCAAGGGATGTTCAAGTCTTTTGCTATAAGATCTTAACTTATCAGTAAGCCAGCCAACAGTTGGAATTGAGAAACCTTCCTTTTAAGAACATTATAATTATTTAAAAGTTATTTCTAGTGTTTATGATTTGTACTGTGAATGGTGCAGTGGTTTTCAAAATGTAGTCTAGGTATTCTTTAGGGAATCCACAGTGGGTCTCAAGCAGGATAATTTATTATATTAACCAACCCCAGTATGATTTGATCCATTAGTTGGAGTGGCTCTTGAATAATGATCAGTGGGAAGAGCTTGATGTCAGTCTGTGGAAGGTACTTTGGTCCATCAAAATAGTCCTGGGAACCAAACCATTTGAAAACCACTGCCTTGGAGTATGGACTCAAAGTATTAACCAGTGTAGCCAGACCACAGGTCTGACTCTTGATTGATACTTTTAGGATAATGTTTCTCTCATCCCTGCATATGACACCATCTTGGTTAAATGAGAGAATGTCCTTACTTTACAGAGCTTTAGAGCTCTGATGAATCAAGATTCCATCCCTGCCTGTGACTTCAGCTTTATATCCATATATAACCTTGCCCTAATGTCAAAATAGGGGTTATGGTAGAAACCTTCAGGAGGTAATGATGAGGCTTTCCCATCAGCCAGCGTGTACGGAGCCATGATTGTAGTACACGCAAGCTCCCTCTGCTTCAGATTGACAGTTTCAGAAAGACGGAAAGTATTAAAAAGGTTTAATTTCATTAGTACTAGTATCTCTCCTGGTGTGATTACTGATAGAATTCTCCCTGTTTTATACTGCTATACTGAAATTCTAAAAGTGACAACTTATCTACATTAGTTTTCCTGACTCAATTGCCTTCTTTATCCAAGGTGTTTCTCTTAAGCCTCTGGGATGAATTTTTATGGTAATGGCCTTGTCTTTATTACCCTTCCTTTATCCACCTAGAAAGATTTTTTTAAAAAGAACCAAGTAAGAGCCAGTAGACCTTTCTTCTGATTCTTAGCATATCCAAATATCAAAAAAACTATACAGCTGAAGGGCCCAAAACATCCTGGGAAGCTATGCTGATGAGAGAGCATCATGACTTACACCTGCCTTCCAAGTCTACTGTGTTTGAAGGAGTA